AACCCTTGGCAGTAGAACCCCTCGGTCGTCCCTCCACACATTCCAATAACCCGGAACAACCCCCCCACCCACACACACATACACACACACACACACACACACACACCGCCCCCCCCACACACACACCAACCCCCCGAATCCCCACCATCACCGTTTACCAGCCCCAATTCCCACTATACAACCGCAGCCAAACACACACACACACACACACAGCATTCCTCTTTCTCTCTGAAACACTGGCACATGGCCTCAGGAATGCCCACCGCACCCCAGCGAGGGGCTCCCAGTTTATAAACTCCGCTTCTGTGGGAGCAAACCTCATGCGGCCAGAGTTACAAGCGGAGCCTGAATGGTGGGGTGGGGGGGGCGCTGTAATAACTGTCCCTTGAAATAAAAGTGAGCCACTGGATGAACCAGCACAAACAACACAGGGCACTCCTCCCTCCCTCCCTTTACTTTTACTCTCCAGGGGGAAAAACACTGTCAGTACCATCCCTCTCGCTGCCCCTACCTCGCACCCAAACACGCTCACACAGTACATAAGAGTGACACCAGAAAATGTATCTGATTTTTTTGAAAGATTTTTAAGGTTTTTAAACGTTGAAATCCATCATGGTATCATTCAATGATAAACCTTAAATGATAAAACCTTGGTGTACTGTATATACTGTCCATATTCTACTTGAATATGAATGCCACATTCATGTTTTCAGCCCGAAGTAATTCAGAATCATACAAATTAATCAACGTAAATTATGCTGAAATTATGATAAAAGGTATCAAATCAAATTGTGGTGAGGTCATAGAATTACACCTCTAGTTTCAACACCTCAGTGACAGACTGAGAATGAACTTAGCTGACCTATTCTGCTAATCTTGAATACAGGGAACTTAAAACCAAGACAGGCAGAGAAGAAGGTCACAGAGAACCTCCATTACTTCTGCAGCTCTCGCCATGTATGATAAAGTGAAAGAATATGGCAATATTATATGTCATACTATGAATATCATAAATCAATGCCAATGCCATTAATACAGAAAATCCTCTAAGTTTCTTTGCTCTGTCAAGGTTCCGTAAGGCCATTTATTTTACTTACATTTAACATTCAAAGCAATCTGTTTTGGTGCTTACTGTCATGTAAGTGAAGGGTCTATGAAATCAAAGTGTCGCTGCAAAAACAAGTGATAAAATTAAGTTGGAAAGTGAACTGTGCATTAATGACGTGTCATCCATTCTAGTTAAAAAATATCCAAGAAAGTACTTAGGAATATGTTTATAGCCAGAGGTAGAAAAGGTTTTCTTCTAGAATCACAAGGAAGTTGCACAGATTTTGCAAGACTGCACTGTTAAAATCTCACTGAAATCAAATTTAGTTCCTGCTCCTAGTCATAGTAAACATGATTCATCATATTTAAAAGACAAAACTCTTGTTCTCCAATAACCTTTCAGCAAAACGTAAATGCCAATAAAACATATTCTGATGTTTAATTATGTCATTGTGCACCAGCAGGCAGCGAAAAATAACATTAACCAATAATACCATGTTTCACATCCTCCCACCTTTCACTGAGCGAAACACTAAGCTAACTCAGAGACCATTTTTCACTTAGAAACACATCATGGAACAGAAGAAAAAAAATGCATTATTATTTCTGATTCATGTTAGCTTCCAAAAATAAATGTGCCAAAAAGCGTTCTTTGGAGTGATGCCATACAAGAACCACGTTTGATTCCCTAAAGCACATTCAGTGAATAGTTCTTCACAGAATCATGTTTGTAAATGAGCATGAAGAACAGTTTTAACGGTTAAAGAACTTTTTAAAAGGTTCTATACCAATTAAAGGGCTCTCCTAGAACCATATGTCTAAGCCAAGAATCATATAGGAACCTTTATTTATAAAAGTGTGCCAGACATTCTGAACTTTTTTGAAACCATCACTGTTAGAGCCATCAGCATGCATTATTTGGTAGTCTAGCCCTTCCTACTTACCACCATTTGCTTAATTATATGTAGAAAATCCTGTAATAAGAAAAAAGATATCAGAGTAACCAAAAAGCTGATTGCTTACCTCCATATAGCAGCAACCAACTAGACACAAAACAGTGAACTTACTGCAACAAAAAGGCTACAATATTTGAAACTCTAACCAATAACACAACGTCATGTCGTCTGCACAGCATGAGGAAGATAATGCAGGAGACAACAAAGGATGCAAAGAGATCATGTTTCAGATTCAGACCTTGACTGCATCTTGGGCTCATAAAGTCTCAAAAACAACGCCACCTCCACACTGACACACGCTACCTCCACTGACAGGCTGTTTGGAAGAGCTGCACAAAGAAAGTTCTTGCCAGACGCAATAAACAAGAAAACCATCTAGCATGTTTTTAAACATCAGTGCAGCTTTAACTTTAACTGGAAGCCACATATGGTCAGATAATACTGAGCATGTTTAGTTGCTTAGTGTCAAAAGAGACGCAGGGTTTAAACAGAACGCTGTAACTACTGTCAGCTGACAGACAGCACTTCAAGAGTTCTTGAAAAGATTAAAGAAAAAAATCAAGAAGGATCTCACTGTCTTGATGACACCACTTAAAGCAAATAGTTTCAATAACCATCATAATTGAACTTCATTAAATGACGAGCTATCAATTTCTTTCTACTTTTTCCCAGATTCTCTTGTGTAGTGTACCCAAGGGGGCTTCACCAAGATGCCATTATGGTGACATTACTGTCTGCTGTGATTTGGACAGGTCTGGAAAACACACTTTGCAGGTAAGTGCCTGAAACAAAGGTGCCATAATCGTTCATCTGGGAAACACAAAGCAACACGGTCCAGTGACATAAGAAGTGGGTTTCTCTCTCTCCTTTTTGGCTGTTTTGAAGATCTTACTGTTTAGAGTCGAAAAGATCAATCGGTTATGTATCAGAATCGGACTCACACCAACTCCAAAACTGACGCTGCATACATTATTGATCGGAGTCTGCTCTATTTCCTGTGCTGTACGGATATGAATTAACCTCCACTGTCATGGTTGCAGCCGAAACAAATATGCCACACAAAAGCACATACAACAAGCAAACGCTGACTTAAAAAATGCAGAGGTTAAAGACAATATTTGGCGGACAGAGTTGAACGGCTATGAAGGATGCTGAGTATGTTACAGTGACTGTACATAAGCATAGGTCATGTGCTCCTTTTTAATGAGAGGAGCAACAATTAGAAGCAGAGCCTCAGATTCCGAGGAAATACCTGCAGAATTGCTCGGTCTGCAGCTTCAGGTTACTCTTATAAGAGGCGGTGGGACTCCTCGTGTTGTGTTTTTTGTAGAATGGTCTGTGCCCAGCATATGCACCGTTTAGTTGCAGCGCTTAAAAGAAAAAAGTTTTCAGAGTGTTCAGACAGAAAAACGCTTCAGACTTGGTGTGAAGGTCCCACTATGTTAAAATTGAAAAAAACAGTGCATGGTGTGAGCAGGCCTTAACAGCCTAGCCCCGCCCTTGATCGGTATCGGCTATCGGCTTATCTTTCTGAAAGGCAATCACTGATTGGTATCGACCCTAAAAACTGATCGGTCCATCTCTAGCACTGTTGTTATTTTCACTGCATACTTACATACAACACCATTAGATTTTAACTCGTAACCAACAAGAAAATCTTCAAATACAGACGTTCACAACGAGACAGATAGAGAGGGCTATGGCGCTTCAAACTGGGTTTCGATTTGGATTCCTAAATAAAAATACCAGCTGAGCACCAGCAGCTTAATATGTTTACAATGACTGGTGAATAAAATAAATACTTACTTTCAATTAAAACTACTGACTTTAAATTAATTCCTTGCTACTGATACTTTGTATAATCTACATTGATCAAATCCTAATAAGCAGAGATCAAAAGCAATTGTCAGTCACGTGCTTAATCATATTCATAAAAATAAGACTGATAAAGCCATGTGTAAACAGTGCTGGCAGCAGCGCTTTCTGGTCGACAGCCAAAAGGTGAGATGTTAAAAGTCTTTATAGCATCTACTGCGGTGCCTAATATGCGTTATTGTTTGTTTCCCACCCGTATTCCATACAAGCCACGCCCCTCCGCGTTAGGATTGGCTATGAGTTCATCCTCATAAGGAGTCTGCCGACAGGAGGCGGGGCGCTCCCAGCCGAGCCCAGCACAAGGGGGCGGGGTTTGTCAGAAAACAGGTGTGGAAGAAAATAACGCTCCTGATGTGGAAAAATCGAGCCCTTCTCTGATTCCGAAGCTACTGCAATAGCATGAACCGTCAGTCAGCCTTTTTAATCTTCTTTATGAGGGAAACACCACCAAGCCAAAGGATTTTGGGGTTTCCACTGTGTAACTTTGAGTCTGCCACAGAAGTGATTGCAACATGACTTACATTTTCTTTGCCCTTTTGCCACTCCACCTTCAAACTTTTAAAACAAACAAGAAAAAAGTACTCCAGGGGAAAAGTACGTGAGAGACGAGCAACAGACTTTATCCAAGCGAGGACGCACTGAGGGAACGATTAAGGCTATTTTTTCAGAGAAAAGGACACATGTGCACTAGCTATGGAGCCTGCATGTCCTATTTAGTCGAAACCAAGCGTGTCTGGTCTCCAGCCTCCCCCCTCGCACCACACACACTACAACCAGCTAATAATAAAGGTTCCTCTCAAAACATGCTCGCTGCAACTTTAAAGTCCACACGAGCCTGAGAAAAATAGCCCAGAACGAAAGTTTTACCTCATACATCCTCTCACGAATGGTCCAAATGTCCGAACACGGTCCCGTGACCACGTTTTTTGTGACCAGTATTTAAAAAAAAATACCACCGCTTTGGACCAAGCAAGGTGCAAAATGATGAAAAATGATTCTAGGTCTATATTATGCGCACCACACTCTCACACACGTCCTGCCAAGACTGTAAAAACAAACACAGCACCAAAACTCTCTCTTTTTTCGGGATTAGGGAGATTAAGGGATGGTGTTGCTCTGTACCTTGCGAGGATAGTCCACAGCAGCCCAGCGAGAGGAGACAGAAGAGCCAGCAGCTATTCAGCGCCATGTGGAGCTCTTTTTTCTTTTTTTTTCTCTCGCTGTGGAGCCCAGAGGAAAGCGCCCTTCTGCTCGCAGCTTCTCCCAAAGCCGAGCAGCTCAGCGCGGCGGCGCTAGTCTGGAGAGAGCCGGCCAGTCTCCCGGCGAACCATCGCCATGTTGTGCGCCAGCGTTCAATGTGTGTTAGTGTGTTAGCTGCTCCACACATACACACACACACGTTCACTCCCCTCTCTCCCTGCCTTTCACTCACACACACCGGTAAGTCCCGCTTTAGGTGTCCGCTGGAGTCGCCTGAAACACTGGCAGTCCCCTCTATCTCTATCTATCTCTCCCTCTTTCTCTCTGTCTCTCTCTCGCACATTCACACACATATACACACACATACACACAGGAGTTGGTATTCCTGTCATTGTGGGGCCTTTCTATTGACTGGAGCTTAAAGCTGCTGTGCTACACCTACCCAGCTCTAGGCTTAACCTCTGAAAATCTTTTCAGAGGTTAAGAGTTTAGTTTCCACAGTTATGTATTTTATGTCAAACGAGAGGAAAAGAAAAAGGAAGAGAGAAAAAGTGTCCTAATGAGGACCAACCAAATGTTCGCACAACATCAAAATGTTGATTTTTTCAGTCATTCTGGATTCACATTAAGTCCCTTTAAAGTGGAATTCCTATATAGTTTTCCTATATAGTTAAATAGTTCAAATGTAAAGTTATTCAGAATGTGTAAGTGTGAAATGCAATAATTCTCTGAGAAACTAGAGAAACTTCTAGAGAAACCCGCACAGTCAGAATTGTTCACAGTGGTGGTGATAGGAACCAGACGTCTGAAGCATGTAATGCCTTTTAAAAACTACCCCAGCTTTTACAAAAAATGCTCATAAATGTGATGCCTGATGCCTGAGACATTGTTTTACAGCAGTTTTGTTATCAGGTTTTGGTCAAAAAGCATATTTTAAAATACATCCATATGAGAGAGGTTTTAGAGGTTTTACCACTACTTCACTATCATCAACATTTCATATGAAAACTCAGAAGACGTGTAGGTTCACTGGTCATTTTGGATAGTAGATGAAATAGTTATATTTGCATCACGACCCCTGTAAAGAAATCAGAGCTGGTAAGTTTCTCTACATTGAACCACTCCAAATGTCCTTGTTTGCATCTTTGACAAATTTTGTGGGTTCTGTCTGTAAACACTCCAGCCTCCATATATCCAAATTCCATAATTAAAGTTTCATTTCATATCTTTCTGTTAATAGCTGGACATATTCTGTAGTGCAGTTGTGCTTAGTGCTCACTTCAGGTGTAACCACACTCTGAGTGAGTGAATCTGCCACCGCACCACACCATCACTCTCTCAGCTCCTGCTAGAACATGCATTAGTCCGTTTTTTAACTTCATGTGTGATGCTATGAACTGCAGTATCATCATCATTAGCTCAGCATGGGGAGTCTTTACCATCTGAGCACAACAAGGAGTGCACAGGTAGTTTCATGAGAGGCCCTGTTTGGCTTGACCTTGAAAGAGAAAGCACACCCCCCCCCCCTTCACCCCACCCCTCCTTATCAGAGGATGTGAGAGTGCATGTATAGCAGCCCCATCATGTGCTCCTCCGGGCTGGGCAGTGGGGAGCAGAGGCCCACAGATGGGGACTCGCATACACACACAAACACGATGTACAGACACATACACACACACACAGCCCTTCCAGTGCTTCATACACATGCAAGGGCAGCCAGGGCCATGCGCTCAGGGGGCTCACAAACGAACACATACACAGGAGCCCACTGGGTGACTCACACTCTCTCTCTTACTCTCAAAAACACACACACAGACCTATGCGCTGGCTGTCTTCCACACACAAACCCCCTGAAGAAGCCACTGGGGCCAAACAGAGCCAGAGGAGAGAGAGATCAAAGCGCAGTGAGCGTTTTACCGAGCACTGGGAGAAGCCGTTATGGGACGAGGGGATAGTTATCCAGGCACAGATTAAGCCAAGGTATGAGCTAAATGACACGGTCACTTCAGATTCTCTACTGAAAAGCCTTTTCAGGCATCTTCTGTTCTTCTGTTCTTAAAAGAACAATACAAAAAAACTGAATGTTGTGGCGTTTATAAGTGCAAAATGTCTTTTTAAAAGTTTTTGTTTCATTATAGTGCTGTTCAACATTCAGAGACCACTCTTTTTTAACTTTTTGTCAAAATAGCCATTAAGTACATGCTATGTATTTTTCAGGAGACATTTCTGAGGTTATAAGATTATAATCCACTTGCGTAAGGAAGGAGAACTTCAATAAGTGAAAAAAACTGAATTTTCCAAAGCTGAAGTTTAGAAAATATGACTCCAGGCAATCATGCAAGGCCTGTTAGACCACCAAAACTGTCACCAGCATATAAACAGTACTTTAATCTTTGAGATACAGGCCAAAATTAAGCTCCACTCTTGCTTCAGATCTGAAAAAACCCTCAGGTGTTTCTGTCCATCCTTTCACTGTAAGAAGATGACACAACACTATGGGTCTGAAAGGATGTACAGCTAACAAGAAACTGTTACTGAGAAAAGAAAATAGACAAAAAAAGAGGAACATTTGCAAATCAAACAAAGAAGCAGCTGGTGTCCTCAGAACAATGAACTGACCACCCCAGAGTCCAGACCTCAACTGAATCTGTTACATATTACTTGCATCTTGAGAACCAGAAAATACAACTTCTAAGACTGAACTTTGGAGGAATGGAAAAAAAATCCTTGCAGATTTCTTTGGAAAACAGAAAGCGAGTCTCCTGAAAAGAACAGAAGGTGTAATAACAGGTGGACATACTGTATAGGGTGTAATAAAGTTGTAATAAGGGTGGACACACTAAAGCCTAAGAGCCTAAGAATAGCTCAGTCACTTTGCATTGAAGTCCCTGTAGTTACTGAATAATATGCCTTAGTATGTAATAAGCCTGTGATTTTAAGAGGTTAATGGCTGTTTTGACTGGAAATTTAATTAAATGAACGATGGTCTTTGTCTTTCGTAAGCACTCCTCAAAACACAAGTGCTTGAGTTCACGGCCACTGGGCTGTTCAGCATCCAGATATTCCCTCACAGCTGGATGCAGAGACACATTTTACTGATGTTGTGTCTACTCTGGTCATAGTCACATGGGGTATCAAAGTCCAGACCTGGAAAACTGCACCACTGTGAATCTCTACATGTTTTAATGTACATGTTTCAACTCAAGGACTCATTAGCAATACCTTCATGAGCTGAATGAAGCGTCAGAAAGTGCTTAGCTGTGCAGCATCTCAGGTCTGAAGACGCCTGCGAGAGAAGGTCACCATGCAGTCCTTTTTCTAAATCTAGCAGACATGACATGGAGAGAGAGAGAGAAGGGGAGAGAGATGTGCTGGAGAAGAAAAGATGTCATAAATCATCCATCAAGAGAAGGACAAAGGCAGAAGTGACAGCTGTCATCATATTCTCAACTCAAGAGTGTTGGCTATGAGGGAAAAGCAGGACGTGAGTTCTCTTAACCCTTAGATGTCCAGAGTTGTTACTGTGATTGTGAGTGGAGTAACTGCCAGGGGTTAGTGGGGCTGATGCACAGAGGCCCTTAGCACAAAGGCTGCATTAAAAAATACTGAAAATAATCACTACAATCACAAATAACATTGTTAAAATGTATAAATAAGTTTCAGAACAGGTTAATTAACAACATGAACAGTATATCTCATTTGTACTTTAATGGGGGCCCTAGACAGCTGCCTACCTTAGCCTATAGTGAAAAGACCGCCTCTGGAATATGACTTCAGTATTAGATTAGTAATAAACTATATTTAGATACTTACGTTCTGTACTGACAATTTTGTTGAGTCTTCATGGACAAATAAGTGGCAGAAATAGACATTTTTGTAAAAAAACTTTTCACGCTTCAAAAAGCTTGTCGATGAACACTCCTTCTTTAAGGGTTAGCAAAGAAAATGGTTCCACGTAGAACCACGAACACTATTATCAAAGGTTGTTTTGCATTATGAAATATTCCTTCAGATGGATGGAGAATGTGCTGCAGATGGTTCTATATAGCACCAAACAGGGTTCTGCTATTGTTACGATGTCAAGCTTTTTACTATGGCAGAACCAATTTTGGTGCTGAATAGAAAACTTTTCAAAAAGGTTCTATATAGAGCAGCATGTTCTCCTTCAATCTGAAGAACTCTTTCACAATATAAAGAACGCTTTAAACGTGCAAAGTGTTCTTTGAGTGTTCATGGTTCTATGTGGAACCACTTTCTTTTTTCTAAAGGACCCTTAAAGAACCATATTTTTTAAGACTGTAGGCTCTGGAAACGGAAATTGTCAGTAAAAGCGTTTTCCCATTCTCAAGTATTCTCTTTAGATAATCCTCATTAGTTCCTTAAGATTTTGTTTAAAAAATCTTCATTGTTTTCTTATGGTGTGTTTTACAGCTTACCTTAAAGGCTGTGAGATATATTTTTTATTTGTATAAACTGTTATTTCCATTATTTAATCCACTCAGAGGACAGCAAAATGGAGGAAATACATCAAACCAAGTGTCTAAATTTTAGCAAAAAAGAACTAGAGGTGAAGGTGGAAGAAACAGCCAACAGAAAAGAAAATCTGATAATATGATAACTGTGGGATGACAGCGGAAGCAGCAGAGGCAGCATCTGAGTTTGATTAAAAAAACACACACACGTTTATGCTGACTGCTGCCAAGTGGTTAGTTGATAAGCCCGTTAGCTAATAATTTTAAAAGCTTAAATAGGAAGTCTATTTAAGATTTTAAAATGACTCGCTGACGTCATGCATGTACATGAGGCAAATAAAGTCCTATAACTGTTTAAAAGCGTTCAAAAATATAACAGTTATAAAGTGTTAAAATGTTTTGTGCTGTTCTGTGTTCAGGAAATTCATGCATTCTGCTATATAAAAGTGTTTAAGCATTCTCCAAAATGATTTTGCTTAAATGTTCTGTATTAGCTCATTAATTTTGGACTAACTCAGTAGCGCCCTCTAGCATCTAACAAATCCAGAGGACATTGAGTGGCTCTCTACACATTCTCTGATACAAGCTCTTTTATCAATAAACCCAATATTAGGCCACAACAAGGTAGCATTTAACAAACATAGCAAACCGTTTATTTAAATGGGAACAGTGTTACGTTCAACGTATGTTGTGTTACGCAAGCGTTGCAACTATGGCAGCTGAGAAGGCCATTCTTAGCACTCTTTTCAAAGAATTTTCAGAACCTCATGAAATAGGTTTAAATATGTGTTTAACCCTTCAAAACACGTCTTCTAACATCTTTAGTGGGTGCGGACACCAAGCAACAGCGGCC